ACTGAAAGCTGCAGAGAAACCCAGTTCCCCTCTGGGCTTCTGAGTTGACTAACACCCACCACAAACGGCCTGAGCCAGCCCGTCACAGGAACTGCTCTCTTGGCCTGCCCTCAACGGCCACTTCAGCTGCTACGGGGCCAGGGACCCAACTGTGTGGGTCCAGCTGCCAGCCCACCTAAATAGAACGAAATAGCACCCTGGGTAAAATAAGTGAGGTTACTGAGTTCTGGGCAATGGGGGTGCAGCTGTCTCCTGAATCAAGCCTCCTTTGGTCACTGCCAAATAGTCAATAAAAGAATACCTGCAGGGACTTCCCTGGTGGCGCTGTGGTTAAGACTCTGCACTCCCAATGCCGGAGGCCCGGGTTCGATCCCTGGTCAGGGAACTAGATCCCACATGCATGCCACAACCAAGAGTTCGCATGCCACAACTAAAGGAGCCCACTAGCCACAAATGCTGCAACTGAGACCTGGCGCAACCAAATAAATAAATATTAAAAAAAAAAAAAAAAGAATACCTGCAAAGCCTGAACGTGTGTCATGAGCATCCCTTGCCTCACCTCTCTGGGGAAAGGAACTTGATGGAAGTGGCACCTTCTGCTTGCTACTTTGTAGCAGTCAACACTGCTGAATTTGTTACAAGGTAACATGTGTTACTATTAAAATTAAGCAAAGCTGGGGCTTCCCTGGTGGTGCAGTGGTTGAGAGTCCGCCTGTCGATGCAGGGGACGCGGGTTCGTGCCCCGGGCCGGGAAGATCCCACATGCCGCGGAGCAGCTGGGCCCGCGGGCCATGGCCGCTGAGGCTGCGCGTCCGCAGCCTGTGCTCCTCAACGGGAGAGGCCACAGCAGTGAGAGGCCCGCGTACCGCAAAAAAAAAAATTAAGCAAAGCTGTCTTACCAGAATGCCAGCCCTGAGTTCTTTCCAGCTGACATTACCACCCACCAAGCTCTATGCCAAATTAACCCGCCATCCCTTCTAATCCTGACCCAGGAGGAAAGGGCCGGCGTCATCCTGGCTTCTCAGAGGACAGAAGCTCAACAGATTAAGTCAGGTGCCCAAGGTCATATCCAGGAAGCGTCAGACCCTCAATCTTAACCACGACAGTCAAGGCAGCTCACGGCCACCCTGCCTCTTCCCACTGACTCAGAGGCTCCAAGCCGGCAGGGGTCTGAATCAGAAGTCAGCCCAGTGTCCCTGTTTGCAGGGCCCGGAGTGTGGAATTAGCCCAACATCCCAGTTCACAGGGCCCAGAGGGTGGAAAGGAGAAGTGACACATCCAAGCTGACACAGGGAACTAGTGGCAGAGAGGGGGATTGGCCCCCCTCCTCCACAATGGCCAAGCATGTCTACCAAGCACCAAGGACCAAGTCCTGTGCCAACTCAAGGAGCACCCAAAGGAATAAGGCAGGATAGACACATGCCCTCCTAGAGGGCTTCCTTCCAGCTCAGGGGACAATGTCAGCCAGCACACGGCCATGGTAGAAAGATTCCTTGTAGGAAGCAACCTAAGTGTCCATCGACAGATGAGTGGATAAAGAAGATGTGGCACATATATACAATGGAATATTACTCAGCCACAAAAAGAAATGAAATTGAGTTAATTGTAGTGAGGTGGATGGACCTAGAGTCTGTCATACAGAGTGAAGTCAGAAAGAGAACGTAGAGAATGGACTTGAGGACACGGGGAGGGGGAAGGGTAAGCTGGGACGAAGTGAGAGAGTAGCATTGACATATATACACTACCAAGTGTAAAATAGATAGCTAGTGGGAAGCAGCTTCATAGCACAGGGAGATCAGCTCGGTGCTTTGCGACCACCTAGAGGGGTGGAATAAGGAGGGTGGGAGGGAGTCACAAGACGGAGGGGATATTCGGATATACGTATGCATATAGCTGATTCACTTTGTTATACTGCAGAAACTAACACAACACTGTAAAGCAATTACACTCCAATAAAGATGTTTAAAAAAAAAAGATGCCTTGTAAATTACAGGAAATAAGATGGCAGAATTCCTGGAGACCAGTCACAGAGTCTCATCTCTTCCCGCTTTTCCTGAGCAACTGCATCTGATTCAACCATCACGGATATTATCATCTCCCCACTCCCCTCCTCACACCAGGTGCTGGGCCTGGCACCGGCACCCTCACTCAGCCAGGAGGTTGTCAATGGAGAGTCAGGCCACATCCACCCTCTCAACAGCCTCCAAGGCCAAGACTCATGAATAGCAAGGTGAGAAAGCCGCCTTGCCAAACAGCAAAACGCACTGTCATCAAAACAGCATGACCCTGGCTCCGGGAAAATGTCCAGAGGGAATCCGGAAACAAATTCAAGAACACATGAGAACGTGATGTAGGTTAAGGTGACATTACAACTTCCCAGGAAAGATGTTATCTGCCTTGTCGGTTAGCCCAGAACAAAACACGACCTGAACCCTACTTCAGACCGTATACAAAAATGAATTCCAGAGGAATCACATGTTTTAGTGTAGAAATAAAATACAGTAGAGTAAATCAACTACCCTCCAAAATAAAATAAAAATTAAATTTAAAAAATACAGTAGAAAATGAACATCTACACAAAGATCTGAATGAGACAGTACATAGTAGCTTTATTCATAATCGTCCCAAAAAGGAAACAACCCAAATGTCCATCAGTAGGTGAAAGGATAAACAAACTGTGTCCATCCCTACAACGGAATACAACTCAATGATAAAAAGGAACAACTACTGATAAACACAACATGGACATAGGGAATTCCTTGGCGGTCCAGTGGTTAGGACTCCACGCTTTCTGAGGACATGGGTTCAATCCCTGATGGGGAACTAAGATCCCACAAGCAGTGTGGCCAAAAAAAAAAAAATGGACACGTTGCAAACGTACTGAGCTGAGTAGAAGAAGCCAAATTCAAAAGGCTACGTTTTGTATGATTCTGTTTATGGGACTTCCTCAAAAACACAAAGCTATAGGAACTGAAAACAGATTAGTTGGTGTCAAGGGCTGAGGGTGGGGTAGGGACTGACTACAAAGAGACATAAGGAAACTTCTTGGGGGGATGGAAACAGTCACTATCATGATTGTGGTGATGGCTTCACAGGTGTATGTATATGTCAAAATGTGCCGTTTATTGTCTGTCAATTATATCTCAATAAAGATGTGAAGGAAGGGAGGGAGGAAGAAAGGGAGGGAGGGAAGGAGAGACAGAGAAAGAAAGAGAGGAGAGAAAGGAAGGAAGGAAGGAAGGAAAGGGAGAGAGAGAGAAGAAAGGAAAAGGGAAAGAAAAGACACAAAACCTGTGAACCTGGCAATCATGACTACGGCAGCCACACAATAATTATCTGTATGTGTATTGACCACTAAGTGGAAATAGCAAGTTGCAAGGTAACATGTATGGTATGATCCCATCCTGTGTGTATCCAGGTTCGTACAAGCACAGAGAAGGGGTCCTCCAGAGAGGCACTGCCAAGGGTTAAGCTTGGCAGTTCTGAGAGTAACACTGCCCTCTAGAGGACTTCTTGGAGATAGGTCTATTGGAAATACATCGATAGATCTCTTGACAAGTTATTTTCCTAATCGCTCCAATGAAAGAGCTCTTATCAAGATTGCCAGGGACCAAACACTTGCCAAAGTCAACAGTCAATTCTCTTTCTTCATCTTACTCAAACTCACAGCCACATGTGACACAGCTGATCACTCTCCTCGTCTTGAAATACCTGCCTCTGGAGGCTTCGGGGAGAGGGCAACCCACGTCTTCCTCCTCCTACCTCACTGTTCTGCCCAGTCTCTTGCTGGCTCCTCCTCCTAACCTCTAAGGCTGGGGAGCCCTGGTGTCCTTCTTAGCCCTCTTCTTTTGCTACACTTTGCCCCTTACCCCTGAAACCATGAGACCTCCTCTGGCCCCAAGACTTTAAATAACCTCCATATGCAGATGACTCTCAAAATCACATCCAGATCCTTCTCCTGAGCTCCTGGCTTCTCTTCCAAAGGCCCCTTCCAGAGCCCCTCTTGCTTGTCTCAGACTAATCACAGCCAAACACAACCCTTGACCGCTCCTCCGAATTATTTCTGTTGAGCCTGCCTCATCTGAGTAAGAGGCAGCGCCCAGGGTCTCCACCCTTGACACTCCTCTCTCCTTCACTCCCTCTTAAGTTCTATAGGTGCTACTTCTGTCTGTGTGACTTCCACTCAGGCTTTGGATTCCATCCTGAGCATCGGCCTCCCAGGGAAGCCTTCTCTAACCTCTCGTACTAGTTTGGCAGCCCCCTCCACCATCACATGCTCTGAGATCCACACACTCCTCTCTGCTGCGCTGAGCAGTGTAGCAACTGACCCTTTATATTTCTGTCCAGCCTCTTCACTACATCGTGGGAATTGTGGAGCTTTGTTTTCCCCTCCCCCAGCCCCCACCTGCCTGTCCAAACTCATGTATTATAACTTCGGCACTCAAAGTGTGGTCCCGCAGACCAACAGCACGTATGGCACTGGGGACCTAGTTAGAAAGTCAGACTTCCAGGCCCCACTTCTGACCTAATGAACCAGAACCTGAATTCTAGTAAGATCCACAGGTTCTTGTTAAAGTTTGAGAAGAGCTTCTTACAAGCTTCCCCCGTTAACTCTGATTCAGCCATACTGGTATCTGTCGTTTCTTAGCACTGAGATATCGGAATGTGCCCGACATCGGGGAGACCCAGGTGAGCTGCGAGGAGCTGGGGCTTGAAGTGGGAGAGAAGGCACGTGAAGATACTGCAGCCATGGGAGAGGCTGCCTTTCCAGTGCTGCTATGGCCCGGTCCACCGCTCCTGAAACGCGGGAACTGCCACCACGGAAGCTCACTAGAAGTAGCGGCCACTCGCGCACCAACTGTGAAATGCGGTCCAGCCCTCGCGCACGCGCACTGCGATCCCGCCTCCGGGCCCGGAATGAGAGTACAGAGAAGACTTACTCTGTGCGTGCGCACACAGACACTGGAGGAGGCGGGGCTTACTCGCTGGGAGGTCCCGGCCTCGGGTGGGTGAGACAGAAGGGGAGAGGAGGGATTTCCGCTTCCGCCGGGAGCTGGAAGTCACTGTCTCCTGGGTGAACGAGGCTGTCGCAAAGATCGTTGGCGAGTGCAGGTGAGGGATCGCGCGGGCGGGCTTTGGGGCCGGGTGGGACTGGGCGCTCCGCGACCCCGGGGCGCTGACGGGGTCCTGGAGGAGGGGCCCAGGGCCCAGGGCTTGGGGGGCGGCCCATCGGGGAACTTGACTCCCCCGGGTCCCAGCGGGTCCCAGCCCGCTGTTCGGAGGCCTGGCTTCTACCGGCGGCCGGCGGGAGGCGATGCCGAAGCCTCGGTGAGCCTGGAAGGACGGCCCACCGGCCTCCTCTTGCGTCCCGGTAGGGTCGGTGGCTGAGCCCTTTTCCAGCCCCCACCTTGGCGCGCTTTGGACTTAGATCGCCACAGAAGTACAGTCCGAGGCCCCTGGAGTTTTATGTGCAGGCCAGACTCCCTTTTCTGGAGTGTGGTTGGCGGGTGCTGTAGTCACCAGGGAAAATGAGTTTCTGGGGCCCACCTGTAGCTTCTGATTCAGGAGACTTGTTTATATTCAACAGTTATTGAGCTCTTAATGCATACCAGGAACTGTGCGTGCTGGGGATTCAGCAGTGGGCAAATCATGCTCCCACCCGAACCCGAAAAAACTGACATTCTAGTGCCGGGAGATCTGGGGGTTAGGTTCAGAAATCTGCATTTTTTGAGCACCCCCAGGTGATTCTGGTGCGGGTGGTAACCAGGGCCAGGCTTTGGGGGGAAAAATTCAACAGAACACTACCCCTGTACCCCCGAAGGTGAGAGCCTGGGCTGCAGAACTGGCTCCGGCTTACTAAAGCCTACTGGGTCTTGTAGGGTCTGGCCGCTGCTCTCCTGTTGCATCTCACACCCATCTCCCCGTTACTCGCTGGGCTTCAGCTGTACCAGTCTTCTTTCTCTTTCTCAAGAAAAGCTTCTTCTGCCTTGGAGCCTTTGCAGTTGTTATTCCCTCTGCCTGGACTACCATGCATGGTCGCCTTCTCTTATTCAGGCCTCAGCTTAAATGACTGTTACCCAAGGGTTCTTCCAGCTCCACCCTTAAGTAGCCCTGTCCCAGAAGCGTTCACTCAGCCCTGTTTCATTAACCTCATAGCACTTAGCAATATTGGAAATTATCTCCCTTATTAGTTAGCTGAAGGGTCTGTCTTCCTCCGCTAGAATATCAGTTGCACAAGAGCAGATCCCTTGCCTGCCTTGATAGCAGCAGTGCTGTGGTTTACTGTAGGCTTGGCATTGGTCATTCATTCATTCAGTAAATCTCTGTTGGGAGCCAGCTCTGTGCCACGAGCTGTTCTAGGCGCTGGGGATACAAAGAAAGACAGAAATCCCTGCCTTCGAGGAATTCACATTTGGAGGGTGCTGGGCAGAGTTAGAGATGCAGGGAGACCAGTGAGGATGCTGTTGTGATAATACAGGCCAGAGATGACTGGGACTCAAGACTCAGACCACGGAGCTGGCCCTGGGAGTGGTGAGAAGTGGTCAGATGCTGGATGTCTTTTAAAGGTAGAACAGTAGGGTCAGGATGGGAGAAGGGGTGTGAGAGAGGGCGAAAGGAATTGAGGATGAGTCTAAGGTTTTTGGAAAGATGGACTTGCTGCCTGTGGGACAACACATTGAGGTGTTCGGAGCTCGGTTTTGGACAGGTTCTGTTTAAACGTTTGGTAGCACCGGGTAGGAGTGTGGCTGAGGCAGGTGGCCAGGGGAGCCTGCAGTTCAGAGAAGACATCGGTGTAGAGGAGGCATTTGAAGCCCTGACGCTGGGTGAGATCTCCATGGAAATGAATGGAGATGGAGAGGGGAGGGGTCCAAAGACTGAGCTTGTGGACTCACCATCATTAGCAAATTGACGGGGTGAGGATGGGGTTGCAGCAGCAGCAGAGACTGCAAGAAGCTGCCACTGAGAAGGGTGGGAGAGCCCTGTGAGAATGGTGGGAGGAGGAACCGGTGTGTCCAGTACCCTGAGGAGTGAGGGCTGCCCCTTGGGGTGGACAGCATGGAAGGGGCTGTGGAGACAGGGTAGGAGGGAACGCAGACAGCTCTGCTAGAAAAGCTCACAGAGAACGAAGGGGTGATTTTTAATGATGGGAGAGGTCATAACAAGTGTGTTTGTTAATGATCCAGTAGAGAGAGAAAATGTGACGTTGGGATCCAAGGCACAAGGTCGCAAATTGTTTTCGTGGGGCGCGTGGACGTTCTTCCATAGCAAAGGAGAGAAGGTCGAGTGGGTGGTCCTGGGGACTTGTGGATTGTGGATGTGGTCTGACTGCTTCTGTCTACTCAGTGAATTGGAAGCACCCTTAGTTAAGAACAAGGATATTGCATAGAGAGTGGTCTTAAGTATAAGTGAAACTCTGGTCTTTATCTGGCAGGCTGCTGACCTCCGCTGTCACGGAAGAATGATGCCAGAATCGGGGAGGCGGGGGGTGGGGGTGGGGGTGGGGATGACCGCTTCCTACAGCGTCGAGCCAGAGGGACGCGTGGGTCCCACGAGTCGCTGACTTCTGCCCCCATCCTCCCACAGGTTTGCCCTCCTGCAGACATGGGGCGCAGAAAGTCAAAACGGAAGCCACCCCCCAAGAAGAAGATGACAGGCACCCTAGAGACCCAGTTCACCTGCCCCTTCTGCAACCACGAGAAGTCTTGTGACGTGAAAATGTGAGCGGGGCCCAGGATCCTGCCTCACGGGGCCGGCCCTCTCCTTCCTCGGTCGGGAGGTGGCTTCCCCCCACCCCCACTGTCTTCCATTCTGTCCCCAGCCCTCCTGGTTAGGGGGATCGTCACCCACAGACACAGGCCCTTTCGTTCACTAAGTCCCCGCATCTCCTCCCATTCCAGGGACCGGGCCCGCAACACCGGAGTCATCTCTTGTACCGTGTGCCTGGAAGAATTCCAGACGCCCATCACTTGTATCCTTGGGAACCCGGGCTTTCCCCAGGGGACGGGGGCGGGGCGTCAGGGCTGCTCTGCCCAGAGTGGGCTGCTCAAGGGCACCCAGCCCTGCTGCGTGCCCTGGTGGTGTGGCCACCGAGAGGAACCAGTGCCACGTGCTGACTTACATGGGGTGACAGGCTTCAGGGCGGGGGTCTGGCTAACAGTAGCGTGAACAACAGAAGTATGTATAGGAAAGGGGTCCAGTGCTACCAGTTGCCCTTGACCTCAGCGGCTCAGATCTGTCGGAACCAGTGGACGTGTACAGCGATTGGATAGATGCCTGCGAGGCAGCCAATCAGTAGCAACGCAGAGGACCCACTCCCTTGGCAGCCTCACCCGCTGGGTACCAATCCAGAGACATTCCAGGGTCCAGGGTGTGGGTCCAGGGCCTCTGCAGCCCTGTGTGTGTGTGTGTGGAGTGAGTGTGGGCATGGGTGTGAGTGGGTGTGGCTGCAGGTGTGACTGTGGGGGTGTCCTCATGGGCATGGGGTAGAGTTGAAGGGTTGCTGGGCCCCAGGGGCCTGAACTGCCTCCCTTGGCTCCGAAAGCCTTTGACTTACTCCCTCCTCTGGCACCTGGCCACCTGGCTTTGGGGCCCTGGCTCCTCCAGGGACCTGTGTCCTGACATCGTAGGTGAGGGCAAGCCCAGCAGAGGCTGCCTCGGGACTCTCCAGCGTCTTACCCCACCTCACCAGCACTTGTCCATTTGAACTGGACCAACTGCTCATCCTCCTTCCCTGCCTTCCAAGGTGTGTGGCCTGGGACTCGAGCCACAGCCCCACAGGCCCCCTGGCAGGGCGGCCTGTTTTCACGTTTGGCCACTCTTGTAGAGGAGGGAGGGGCTGGGTTGGGGATAGCTGTCGATCACCAGCCCTTAAATAAAGCAGCCAACGCGAAACTCCCAGCTCTCTGGTTTCCTGGGCTCTGGGTCAGACCCAGGGGCTCAACGAGGGAACGGGGGAGACTGAGGCATTCAGAGGTGGCCTGGCGGGCCACTGGAAGGGGTCAGCCCTTCAAACCGTACAACGTTTTATCCACTCTACAAGCATTCAAGGTGAAACCAGGGCAGTGTTGGGCTCAGGGGACAGGGATAAACCCACAGACATCTGGCCAGGCGTTTACATGTTTATGTCCGATGTTTACAGTCACAGCAGAAGCCGGGGCCAGCAGAGCCCAGGGTGGGGATTGGGGGGGTCAGAGAAGGCTTCCTGGGGGACAGCCTGAAGGAGCTAAGGCTCAGGGGCCACACTGGGCCAGAGGCCAATGTCAGGTTTGCCTGCCTTGCCCCCATGTCGCGACAGCCGCCCTGAGGAAGGAAGATGCTCACGGATGAGGAAACAGGCCCGAGACAGGAGGTCACCGGCCAAAGGTCCCACAGCCAGAAGACTGCACGGCTGCCGGGCCTTGAACCCAGGAGGCCTGGCTTCACAGCCCAGCATCTTACTTCCTCCTGAATCCAGGGTCCAGGCTAAGGGAACAGCTCCTGGCTTCCTGGGGGCGGGGGGGGCGGTGGGGAGCACTGGAGAAGAGTAAGGGACCCTTGTCCTAGGGTCGAGAGGAGTCTCTCCGGAAGGCTGGAGGTGGAGCCAGATGCACGTGTAGGGTGTAAGAAGAAATGCCTGGGCTTTGTCCCTGGCTCTTGGCAGGAAGCTTCTAAAACCCTTGGAATTTCCTGAGCAACTGGAGTACTTTTTGTCATCCATAAAGAGCCCCTTTTGATCACAGGTGAGATTATGCTAATGAAGTGATTTAGAGTGGGGCCCTAGGTAGTCTCAGGAAGGGGCAGGACGCAGAGGAGGAACTCAGTCAGCCACACCCACCAACCTTCGGGAAGGGGAAGGGACCTACAGATGAAGCACGATATGAGGACAAGATTTGGTGAGCTTCCGCCCTTGGTGAACACAGGGAGGTGCTGGGACACTTGGAGAGGGCATGGAAGCTCCACCCTCCTTCCTCATACCTTGCCCCAGGCATTTCTTCCATCTGGCTCCTCCCGAGTTATATCCTTTTATAATAAACCAGTGATGTAATAAGTAAAATGTTTCTCCGAGTTCTGTGAGCCACTCTAGTAAATTAACCAGATCTGAGGAGGGGGTGGTGGGGGCCCAATCTCCAGCTGGTGGCTCAAAAGCACAGGTAAACCACCTGCACTTGTGATTGGCAGCGTAAGTGGGGGAGGGGCAGTCTTGGACAGAACCCTTATCCCGTGGGATCTGACGCTTTCTCCAGGTAGAGAGTGTCAGAACTGAGTTAATTGCTTGGTGGTATTGGAAAAAACACACCTTAACAAGGCTGATGGTGAGACCCCAGACGGTCTCGTGGTGCGGAGGGCCTGACGCTTTGGCAGTGTGGGGCAGGTCCATCTCCTCCACCTGGCCTCGTGAGCCTGGGCAGCAAGTGACTTGTGCTTTGGCTTCCTCGTTGGTACAGTGGGAAGGATGATGGAACCTTCCTCCCAGGGCCACGCTGAGGATGGAGGCACCTGTCATGATTCCTGGCACAGTTCCAACAGACTCGGACCCACCAGGGCAGCGGGGGATGTGAACGGCCGAGAAGATGCTGACCAGGCCAGAAGCCCTGGCCACCAGGCCCAGCCACTGGGTCCAGCATGTGTCCCCCAGGGCCCTCTCTACCCTGACATACCCCTCCTTGGTGCTCCCACCTCCCCCTCCAAGGCCCCAGGTGGGGTCCCCTGGCCGAGGCAGGACCCAGCGGACACAGGCAGAGTGGCGGACAGGTGCCGGGGGTGGGGTGGGGGGGTGGGGGATGCCCTCTGGGGTGCAGGGAAAGGGGGCTCCTGCCAACCAGGGCCCGCCCACCCCAGTCTTACAGACCAAGTGCTAATATGGTGCTGTTTTCCCAAGAAGGCAGGGCCCTAGGCCAGGCATGGATCCTCCTCAGCATAGCTTCCCCGAGCTGGCCCCATGGTAGCAGGACTTTGGGTAGCAGGACTTAGGGTAGCCAGGCCAAGAGCGCCTGGAATCCAGTTTACGAGGCCCCAGGGGCCGTGTGCGTCTGTGCGAGCGGGTCTTCTGATGTCTGTCTCTGCAGGTCCCCACATTCCAGCCTCGCCCCCTGCCCTGGGGAGGGAAGGGGAGAAGACCGCTGTGCCCCCAGCATGGCCGCATCCTCTCGCTGGAACCCTGGCATTTGATAACTTCTGGGCAGGTTAGCTGGGGCCCACATCACCGGGAGAGCAGGATCCCCTCTGAAATGTGGGGAGGTTGGGACCTTGTCCAGACTTCTGGGATCCTGGGCTGGCAGGCCAGGCGCCTGGGCCAGCTGCACCCTGCAGTCAGCTACTTAGCTGCTCTGTGCCAGTTGGTTAAGGGCTATTGCCAAAGTGCCTCCACTGTGCCCATCCAAAGTGGGCACATCTTTCCAAAGTGCCCATCTTTCCCCACTGCCCTGTCCCCTCCCACCTTCCCACAGTCTACTTCAGGACTAAAGGGTTCTCCCTGCCCACAGGGGCCTCCAGGACCTGGCTGGTTGTCCATTCTCATGGTCAGTACCAAATGTCATCCCCTGTCCGGAGGCGTCATTTCATTTAAGCTCCCTGTGACCCCACAAGGTTCCATGTCCTCATTTTCCTAATGCGAAAACAGGCCTAGGGAAGGGAAGTGACTTGCCCAAGGTCACCTAGCTGGCAAGCTGCAGAACTGTGATTTACATCCCATCTAGCCCGTTCCGGCGCTTGGCCTCAACGCAACCCACAGGCTCCCAGGGAAGGTACGTGTGTGTGTGTGTGTGTGTGTGTGTGTGTGTGTGTGTGTATTGTGTACCTGTGTGAGGGTTTATGTTTTTATGTGCCTTGACGTAGGAGTGTGTACTGCATGTGTATCTGTGCGTGAAAGGGTATGTGCAGTAAGGCTGTAGAGAGCATGTGTACACCATACACACGAAGTGTGCGTGCATGTGGATTTTGTGTGTGAGTCGGGGTGGGGGGGAGCCCATCCTGGGTCCAGCGAGCTCTGTGAGCTGTGTGTGTGTATCTTAGGGTGCATGTGAGTGTGTGTGTGGGAGATGGGGTGTATCTGAGCGAGGCCACTTATGCGTGTGCTACAGCCACCCAGCCTCTGTGACAGCAGCCCTGAGTCCTCAGATGACTTTACAGCCATTTATTGTGCTCCAGTGAAGTAGAAAAAGAAAGTGCTCGCGTTACAAACACCGCTGTCACATCCCTTAACGCCAGCTGCAAACCAAACCGCGTGTGTCCGCTGGGGGTCTGGGCATGCAGTTTGCTCCCACTGTGGGAATGGGGGAGGGGGGCGAGCCTGGGCTCTGGGGGCTTCGCTTGGGGGGGCTTCTTGTCCTGGGGGACCCACCTGTGGGGAGTGGGGGACAGCGGGGTAGCTTTGCTCAGTGCGTCCTTTGGGTGCTGTTGGGAACACCCGGCTCTATGTTGGACCCAGGGAGGAGCCCCCTTTCCCCCCCACAGGCCCCACCCCAGTCTGCTCCCCCCAAACGCTAACCCTGTAGGCAGGTGCCAGGGGGCTGGAGGAGCCATGCAGGGGGAGGGGGTCGGCGGGCCGGGCTGGGCCCTGCCAAGAGCAGCACCGGCCTCCCCGGGGGAAGGCGGGAGGCCCAGGGCCCTAGGCGGAGTTGTAATAGTTGTGCGGGTGGTGGTCGTGGGCAGGCTCGCCCAGCTCCGGGTACTCGGGCGTCAGGCAGTACTTGGGGTCGTAGACCTGGCGGGGCAGCCCATACACTGTCATGCCCCGCTGCGAGGCCCCCTTGTTGCTGCCCATCTGCAGGCTGACATTGAGCGTGTCGCAGTGCTCCATGCCCAGCCCCGGCTCGAAGATCTGCCGCTTGGTCCCGGGAGCAGTCATGCCGGCCTGCGGAGGGCAGTGCAGTCAGGCCGAGGGGACGGCGAGGGGCACAGCCCCACCAGCCCGCCCCATGGCCCCCCACACACCTGGCTGGCTCCCTTGTTGGTGCCCATCTGCAGGCTGATGGTGGCCTGGTCCAGGGGCTGGTCTGTGCCCAGCTTGGGGTCGTAGAGGTGGCGCCGGGTGCCGTAGGCTGTCATGCCCTGCTGGCTGGCAAACTTGTTGGTGCCCATCTAGGGAGCCAGAAGGAGAATCACCCCTTACAAATCTCACGGTGGGCCACCAGATGTAACTCATGTCAGCAGACACATGGCCCTCTAATGAGGCACTGTTTCCACCCTCAGGCTACAGACTGGAAACTGAGGCCCAGAGAAGGTGGGTCACATGACTGATAGGTGGCCTGACTTCCAGGGTTCAAGTTCCAGCCCAGCCACTCATCACATGGGCAATCCTGGCAAGTAAGCTATCTTCTCCAGGCCTCAGTTTTCCCGTCTGTATAAAGGGTATGCTGATAACAGTACCCACCGTCTAGAGCTGTCAGAGGAGTGAGTTAGGGTATGGAAAAATGCCGAGCGTATAGTCTAGTAAAGGCCAAATATCCTGCCACCCCCCCACCAAAGCCTGCAGGGACCAGGGCGCCCTCCCAGCCTCCTCCACTCCCTGACCCTCTGCTCAGCTCAGCAGTGAGACCCGGATGTAGAAGGGGCGGTACCTGCAGCCCGATGATGTTCCGCCCTTCTCTTAGCTTCCCTGGCTCAAATTTCCGTTCCTGCTTCTCTGCATATTTCACTCCCACGTTCACCTTGTTCCCTTTCGTCTTGGCCTGGGGAGGGTGAGGGAGGCAGGGGCTGACAAGGAAGCCCTGGGCCACACTGTCCCCTCGGAGACCCTAAGCAGCACCTGCTTTCCCCCTCCCACCCATGCGGGGCTCAGAGGGCACAAGTGGCCCCACCCGCATCCCAGCCCCGAGCACCCGCAGCCTCCCGGCCCCATGCCCACCCTTCAGCCACACTCACCATGCTGGCCAGGGCCAGGAGGGTGGACTGCACTTGGGTGTGGTTGGTGTTCT